ATATATATGTATATGTATGTATTTACAACTGAAATTCACCCTACCAATTTTATACCGAAACCTGAAGTGTCCGTTTCATAATGGAAGGAAAGATACTGTAATGGAAAACTCTTCATGTGGTATGAAAAGTTTAGACAAGTATGTCATTAAATAATGGAAAACTCTGTTGCTCTAAAGTTTCATGTAAATCAGCTTGCTGCTTACCAGCACTGTTGTGCATGCAATAGTAATGAAACCCTAAGCGAGGAAGGAAATAAAAATCAAAATACAGTCGCTTAATAGGGGAGACAACTTTCCAATTATTTCATAATTGTGCAAATGAAGATGAAGACAAAGTTGGTTTTCAGTTTTGCTGCATTTCTTGCTACTCCAGGAGTTTTTAAATCAAGAAAATACTGGCAAGTTTAACAGATCTGATTTTTCAAGAGAATAATTGATTGCAGAGTTAAATATATTTCAACATTAACATGTTCATTCCATCCCTGTTCTTACGGAACTTCTAGTACTTATCTGGCTAAAGATATCATTTCATATTTTAAAACTAACTACAGCTGCTTCTAGTTAAAAGTTACTAAACATAAACCAACCACAGCATCTAGTTATGAAGAGTAACTAATTGACCAAGTCAGAGTAAGGAATATCCACCTAAAGACTTTCTGGCTATTGAACTAGTCAATTTTAATCAGTATTTACTGTTCATCTCCATACATTCATATAGTCCACTTGAAAGATCTGAATACTGAAGACTGTATTTTTCATCTTCTGTGTAAACTATTGTAATGCAGTAGGTATTCTGCATTTTGAGAAAGTTTACCTGGCCCCAAAGTAGTGTTCCCATGCCCAGGAAAATGGACCACAGCCACTGTTCAATCGAGAGTTCTGAGCAACTGAAAGGCTTCCCACCAAACTGCACGATAATTATCTGTGAAAAGCAACATCATTGAACAACATGTATCAGTGACCTGTTACCTGAAAATTCCCTAATGCTTCAAGATCAGTAGAGACAACTCTGCATTAGAGTATAGGATTTCCTGTTTTATTAAGCCTATGCATCCACTGTCTCAGCAGTGTGAGCAATTTTCCAAACCAAAGCCATCTTCTGAAGCTTTTCAGTATTTCAACAACTACCTATTTATTCTTCAAGTGTCACACTCACAAAAACCTATCAACTACTTCATGTTGTTTGCAGTCCTTTCTCTCTGTTTCAATTACAGCATGTATTCGATGCTACAAATTTACAGTGGTTATTTATCATATGAACACTCATTTATAAGAACCAAGCTTATTAATCAGTTTCTATTAATATGAGTCGTAGATCCACAAGACATAAAACACCTCAGAAAAAATTCAAGATAGTATTACTATGTATTCCATCAGTGGTAAATGTCAGACTTTAAATAATCACAGTGTGACATCTATGTAGTAAATCGTAGGAGAAGGGGCAGAGATCTCAGAAGTTAAACTAAATGAGCTCCTACTAACTTACCTATTACAAAAAGCTGTATGGGCCCTAATGAGCAAAGTAACCCTCTGCATAGGAATTGTATGCGTGAAAGTCTGCCCTGAAGAATCAACAATTCAAGTAGCAGGACAGGCATGAGAAGGAGGCAGTAAGTAAGTACTTAAGACCATTAAGTAGGACAACCTGACAGCTGAAAAGCCCAAGAGTATCTTCTTTTTATTAACACAGAATAAACACTGACACAACAACTCAGGAGTTACTTATTTGGGAAGACACTCCGCCCACCAAGTTTATAAAGGGAACAGAGTTGCAGTCAGGAGTAATTTCTACATATTTAGGTTTGTTGCCCAACAACAGTCACTCTGCTGTGTTGCAGAGCACAACCCTGAAAATAAGAGTGGCTTCTGAAGAAGCGTCATCTTAAAAAAGCCTAAACATGGGAGAATAAGTGCACTAACTGTGAAACAGAGGTGCATACACTTTTATTGCTTAAACTGCTATGAATTTGGTCAACTTCATGGAATCCCAAGTCTAAGGAAAAGCTTAAGGGCATAGTTTATATCTTAAGTCTGAAATAACTTAGGTCAAAAAGAAAAAAAAAATTAGTACACTGATTTGTTGGTTATTTCTTCTGATAAATTAAAAGTTAAGGCCGTTTAGAACGTGAAACTATTACTTACCAACTATTTCCCTTAGATTAAATTTTGGTATTTCTCAACACCAGTGTGTTAACCCAATCAATTTAATTTCATTTGTTATATGAATGAGTTAACTAAGTAGCTTTCACAATCTGCCTAGATGCACCAACAGAAGGTCCCTAGACATCAGCGGTTTTCACCTAAACCAGCAGCATCTATATAAATAACTGTAAAATATATCCTAATACAAATAACTGATTTCTCCATCAGAAAGATAAAAGCTGATACTTAAGATTTTAAAGCTTATTCACCCCCTGATCTTATTAAAAAGATACGAGAAGTTTTAACTTTTCTGTAATTGTTTAAAGAGACTCTCGTATTCAGATGCATGGGCAGATACTTATGAGGAACAGTTCTGACTTTGGGGAGGGGTGTGTGTGCGAACATTACAACTGCCCATTTTGTCAAGAGGCTAGAACACTAAGATCAAACGGAGGGACTAAAAAATTCAAAGGGTAAATCCAAGTACTTCTACATTCCAATTTTACCAACTTCAAACAGGTCCTACCTGACAACCTTGTCAAGCAGAACTTCGAAGTGATTTATGGCGTTTGACACTGAACGCTTTTCACATTGCAGTAAATGCCTGGCACTAGTTGATTAGCATTCCCAAGGTAAGCAAGCATGTCATTGTACTAAGTACATTCCCCCCCTACCTGCAAGAATTTACTTACCTGCACAACAAATGTCCCCAGAACAATAGAACAGAAGATAGCATTGTTGAAGATTCCTTCAAAAACATTTCTTTCACCATGAATTTTCCGGGCATTAATTTCATTAAAAAGCTGCATCATCACAAATGTGTTAAATACAATAGTATAATGCTCTGAAGGAGGAGCGTGCAGAGGTGCATTTCTTCCACTATCGATATCAAAAATTCTCTCACCTGTGTTTAAAAAGCATTTATCAGCAGCTTAATTGATGTCTTTACACATACACACTACGACAAAAAATAGTTTTAAGATCACATCTCTGTATAACTTTCAGGATAACTTTGTGAAGCCTCAGTATTCTTACCAGCAAAGAGGAGTGTGAAGACCACTACAAGTTGGTAGAATGCATGACCCAAAATGTTCTTCATCATTGTACGAGAAATCAAAGGTTTGTTTCTACCATAAGGCTTTCGCAACAGAAGAGCTTCAGTAGGTGGTTCTGTTGCCAGGGCAAGAGAAGCTAATGTGTCCATTATGAGATTTACCCACAGCATCTGTACAGCTTTAAGCGGAGAATCCTATAAAGATAGATACATAAACCCTCCAATAAAAGTGAACAAATTGCAGCTATTAAAGGCATTTATTATACAACATGGGCATAACGTTCTGAGGAACATTATGATCTTTGGACTAATGTTTAACTGAAAGTTTGAATTCAAGAATTAATTAGTCATGACATTTTCAACCATTATTAGCTGAAACAATCCACCACCAGTACGTACTTGTGTTATGCATGCTCCTGTAAAAGCAACAATTACTGCTACTACATTGACAGTAAGCTGGAACTGAAGAAACTTGGAGATGCTGTCATACACATTTCGTCCCCACATAACTGCTTTAACAATACTTGTGAAGTTGTCATCTGTAAGGATAATATCAGAAGCTTCTTTAGCTACGTCTGTTCCAGCAATACCCTGGTAGAAAAAGAAAAACATGATGAAATATAACAGGATGCACAACTTATGTAATAGAAGCTATTATTACATCCTTGGTCAGAATTCACTTTGAATGCATCATGTCTGAAGGACTATTTTAATGTAAGCACTTAACATTCTACTGAATCAAGTTCTGCTTGCAAGTTCCACTCAAGCATGGGGAAACGTAAACAAAAAAGAAACCTTAACATTGTCTTTAAAGATCTTAATATAAAATCCTTATGTTGATGATAAAGACACTGTGTTCAATTGTCCCAAAGAAGTGTTACTGAACCCTGTGCAAGTTAAAGGCCACCAGATGGTGCAGTATGTCCTAACTACTTTGCTATACAGATTTCAGCAGTATGGCAGTGCATGTTAGTAACACAGCAGAATGATATACATTACCAAAAACCTGTTGCAGAAGAGAACTAGCATTAAACAACGGCATATGCAATGTCATTCCATACGACATTCTTCAGTTTTAAGCACCCATACTCTCCTACAGTGTCTGAACAGTTAAGCTAAGTTCTGTGTAATACCTACCTGAAGGATATTTATTTTTCTTTTGCTATTTCAAAACCACTAACTCAACTGCAAATTTAATGATACTTATTCTGGATATACTGTTTTGCCAAGGAAATTAATCACCTGCACAGCTATACGCACACTTTAAGAAGTATCTTAAAATATACCGTCCTTTATATGATATTTAAAGTGCTGTTTAGATAAGCAGTTAGAGGAATTAGTTTCTTACATCGATGAACACAGACAGCAGCTGCAGGAAACATTTAAGTTCTGAAATATTAAAATATATCTGCCCTTGAAAGCTCCAATTACAGCAGCTATACAATAGCAGAAAACATACTCTTGTTTTTAAAAAACAACAAGCCTGTTACAGTCTAGGACATTTCATATGTAGCTGTCAAATTTGTAACTCATGTTTTTGAAAAATACTACTTGAGAATGACACAAAAGCTCTTCCTCTTCCCATTTTTTCCTTCAAGATTAGCATCTGAATCAGTGCAACCGCATGTGGTGTGGAAGTGTCACACGTGGTGTGGAAGTGTCATTGTCTGCCTCCTGCCTTCAAATGCTTCATAATGAGGTTTAAAAGACTTAAGTGACCTACTAGCACCAAACTATCTTTCTAGATTAAGACTGAGGAGAAATCTTGAGGCAAGAGGAAGCTTTAGGAACCTATCTTACAGTGTTTTGAAAAGTAGAAGAAAGCTGAAGCCTACATACTTAACACATGAGTCTACCCAGTATTAGCACTTAAAGCCAAGACTTGGTTTAGCTACCATATGAAAGGGTAGTTGAGAATTTAGATTGAGAAAGCCAAGTAATCAAAGGAACCATCCAGACAAATACAAGTCCTAGGTCGTCATAAAACCTTCAGTTGTATCAGAGATGTCTCTCAGTATAGCCTCCAAAACCATTTTAAACATCAACTGGCAGTCTCTCACATTATAGTCTCCCTGTTCCTATGCACTGTTCCATGGAAAACAGATGAATAAGCTCATTCCTTACTGCATATAAGCTTCACTCAAAGTCAACACAGTACTATTTACTACCTAAAGTAATTTTGCCTTATGTTGAACAGATCTCATTTTAGAATTCTTCAGTATCATTAATTCTGTTCCTACCTGGAACACAGTTAAGTCAGAAGACTGAAGAAGGAAGAAGAAGTATTTAGTATTAAGTGTGAGAGATGTTGTCTCAATTAACTTAGCTGCATAATAGGCTAATGGAACAAGCGAGGTTGTTTAATCTTCTTCTAAGTGATTTGATAAGTTACTGTATCAAAATAGGTCTCCAAAATACTGAGGGATAAAAATAAAATATCATACCATAGCAAATCCAACATCTGCCTTCTTCAGAGCTGGACCATCATTGGTACCATCACCAGTTACTGCTACAACTTGCCTCTGTTCAAAGACAGTGCTATCGATTATACCTAAAATAAAATGACATCTCAGGGTTAAGATTTCGGAATTGACAACACAGCACAGATTAAACCTGAAAGAGAAACCCAGTTTTGTCTTCCTCAGTCATAATTTAAAAAAAGAAAAAAACCAGAACAAGAACAGATAAACCTAATTGGCTCAATTTCTCAAAGAGGAAAAAGAAAAATACATCCGTCAGCAAATGAAGACACCCTCATAGGCATTTCCCAGTGCTCAGTCCTAGATGTTTTTCTAGGAGCTTTACTTGGAAGCACAGAATTTTAACTTACCTTTTACGAGAGTGTGTTTGTCAGTGGGAGAAGATCTTGCAAGAACACGAAGCTTTGGCCAAATTTTATCTATTCGCTCTTGCTCTATCTGCAAAAAGAGCATTGGTTGTATTTTACAGTTAGGAGATTTAGAATATCTGCTGATCTACTTCACAGAGTCAGGATACTTACCTCTCCTTTTTCATTGCGTATTCTCCTGTTAAAGTCTTTGCCCTCTAAACACAGGAAATCTTCACCAGGATTCAGAATACCACATTTTAATGCAATAGCACGAGCGGTGTTAATGTTATCGCCAGTGACCATACGTACAGTTATGCCTGCACGTTGACACTTCTTTATTGCATCAGGTACCTGTAAGAAAACACACAGGCTCAGAGACTGTACATTATCTGAATAAATCTAGACATGTGAGTGAAAGGAATGTTTTTGGCTCACTCCAGGAAAACACTTATTTTAAAATCAAGACTCTTGTTATGGAACATTTAAAAAATTAAGTACCTTACCACAACTCTTTTCCTGAAAAACACAGAAATGGCAATTCCAGCAAAGAGGCTTTTTTGTTCTCATGTCATTTCCCCTCCCCCTCCTTAGTTTTCAAATACTGCAGTACTCAAAAATACCATAGAAATCCTCATTAGGCTGTAGGTACCGAGGTACTAGCTTTTCATTTATGATTGTGTGAAATAAATTACATCTCAACACTCCAGTATTTCACTCATGACTTTTCATGTAAAGCAATGATTGTACAGATCAGACCGGAGTTCCACTTACATGTGTCATAAAAGCTTTCACTATTTAAAAACACTGCCCTCCTTAGATGTCAACGACTAGCCAGACTCCTTACCTCAGCTCTCAGGTGACAAACTCTCCTCTCTATTCCCCATGAGAAGCTGGCAACAAATACAATGGCTAATATCCTAAACAATGCCCTTAATATTCCAAGTGGTAAAAAAAGTGACAAGCTGTTCCATCTACTGAGACCCTGCACAGTAAGCACCTTAGTTTGTACAGAGCTTCAGTAACACAGCATAAGTGCCATTAAGAAGTTTTAATCGGCTTTTATAGCTCCATTAACTTTCCCCCCAAGAAATTATATTTTCATTTATTAACCATGCTTAAGGCATGCAATAGCAATTCAGTTTCTTGTACTCTCTGCATGACGAACAACATGAATCAAGATCTGTAATACAATCACTGCAGTTTAGTCAATGACCCTACCTCAGGTCTCACAGGATCTTCAATCCCGACAACAGCAATGCATGTCAGGCCAGTAACAATATCATTTTCATTGTCCCATTCTGGCTCAGGTTCCCCTGCTGGGAAGTCTCTGAATGCCAAGCAGATGGTTCTGAGCCCTTCAGAAGCCATTGGCTCAATTACAGTTTTCACAATATCATCGCGGTCCCTAGGTCTAAATACCTTTGGTTCTCCATTAGCACTCAGTATTTTGAAGCACCTGAAAAGGAACATTTGAAAAGTTAGCACATTTTAACCAGAAGTTCAGCCCATTCAATTGCTTATTAGTCAACTCAGTAAGTTTCCACAAGCTTTGTTTTCACTAGACTTGAACACATACAAAAATGCCAGTAGCAGCATCTCTGAAATAATCTTCTCCATATGTGCTTAATCTCATTCCAACTGCAAAACATCCCAGCTGTAGGAAGTTAACTGAGCCAGTCATCCTAGGATGAAAATAACGCTCAACAAATTTAGGACACAAACTTTAGTTGCCTCCCAGAAGTATCCATTTCTCCATTGTCTGTAAACAGACTAGTGTCTGCGCTGGTTAAGTCAATCCAGTTTCAAGTTCAACAAAATAATCCCACCTTATTAACAGTTATACAAGTCTCAGAAGTGCAGTATGCTTCCAGAACACACATGTGGTGCTTAAACAGCTGTAAGCACTAAACTTACAGCACTAAAAGCAAGCTCTGGTACTGATATCCTTGAGTAGTAAGGTTTGCCCCCCCCATCTAAGCGCAGAGAATTCAGAGAGCATCTGGCATAGAGTTCTTAATGTGAAATATTAAATTAAAAGCAAATACTTAAATCTGATTTAAATGTTTATATAAGAGATTACATTCAACACTATGTACTCTAGCATTTCAACACATGCTTTTAGTTATGTTTCTTTAGTTTCTTCATGCCAAAGATACCACTGATGCTTTCACAGACAGCTTATATATACACACTTCACTAATATGACTGTAACACTACCAAGTATTTTGAACAATAAATTTAGTCTTGTTCATGTGCATCCTTAGCCAAGTTTTGCCAGAAAGCAATGCCATAAGCATGTTTTACAAATTAGTGCTAATGTGGCACTGAAAAAAAATTAAGAATTTGTGACTTTTTTTTTAAATACCAAGTTCAGATCTGGCATATCACTTGAGAGGACTACTGTTATGTTTAAGTGTTTAGTCGAAGGGATTAGGGAATTCCCAGGTGCAAAACATATGAAAGAGTTTCCACCTTGGCCAGGAAATGGAAATGAAGCAGTCCTTTAAAGCTTCATAGTATTCATCGTAACCAAAATCAGGAAATTCAGATAAGACTTCAAATTTCAGTTATCTGTTCAAATGTCAGCAATCAACTAAGGATATCTTGTGTTACCTGCAATCACAGAGCTTATGATAAATGCAAAGCATTCCAAGATTACTAAACGGAAGCCAATAAACTCTATGTAAAGATTACATGAAATTCACTTCAAATATTTGACTTGAGCATAAAGAAAAAAAATAATGGAGCTGCTCTGCCTGCTGCATTATTACTACATTTGTTAGTGACTCATTTGCATCTTATAAATATTCATGTTTAAGTTTTCAGGGCTTAAGAATAGTCATACATGTTATAATAAAGAATAAACAGTACAATTGAGAAACCAGGTTACAAACTCTGAGATTAATTTCTGGCACGGCATAGGTGGTGGGTAAAGAAAGTTTGGCTTATGCTGCTAAGACTTTTCCCAGTCAGTACATCCTCTGAAATAGCTGTGGAGTTACAACTATTTCAACAGTACCAAGGTTTTCTTGTTCTTTGCCAAATGCCCTTATTATTTATTTTGTTATCTCAGTTACGAAGTCAAGTGGACCATGGGCTGAATGAGTTCCAGCAACTTCTAGATTTCAACTGCTCAGTAACATAGTAAGGTACAAAATACTTCTGAAGACAGAAATAATGCAAATATAGGCATACTTAGTTATTCACTGATGAGACTTGCCTTGAAACCTCACTATGAAAAAAATTACTTCTAAATTCTGTATCAAAAGGAACAAGAGTCATTTAAAGATTGACAGCACTAAGTTGAGAAGGAAGATTTTGTGTTTTTCCTTTAGTGAATTAGTACTTTCCTAGATAATTATTTAGGGGTCTAGTAGCAAGCAAAAAAGTAAACTGGACTGGTACTATGTAAGTGCTACTTGGACTAGAAATAACCTGATGTTAGAACCAAATTCAGACTGGCTACCACTGCTGTTCCTAGTGAACGTGATGCATAAATGCTTGACTTCCAATCTCATCTAGTTAGGACTTAACACAGCTTTCTTTGCACCTAAATGTTTGTCCCAGTGGTGACTAATCTCTCTGTAATAGTCTTAGCTCATACTAATAAATCCTCTATACATGGGCAGATGGATAAAGCAGCAATTTGCTTTGTCACATTAAAAAATTTCAAGTTTTTCCACTGGCCAAGTTAAACCACCTTTTAAAATTATCAACATGGACATCAACCTGCACAGTCTTTTAAAGTTAAAAGCAACCACTTTTCAAAGGCACAAGTGCTTCTTGGAATCTAGGCACAGCAGCTGCTGGGAGGAGTGAGCTTTTGACCAACCACACCTAAAACTTACATAGTTTACCTACAGAACTGATCAGTTCATAGATGCTTTCCTCTAACAGCTCACAAATTAATCACAAACAGCTCATTTTGGGGGGAACAGGGCTGGGATGTGAGAATTAAAGTAACTTAAATCCTAATTGCCCATCTTGCTGTACAAAGTCAAGCAATTGAAGGAGACAAGTTGGGAAGCTGGGTGCAGTCAGAAAGGTATAGGACTGCTGCACTTGTTTGTGAGTAGGGCAACAGAAGCATTTGACAGGCTATGGCACAGTGTTGTGCCAAATGAAGACTTCAGTGTCTTCACTTATCAGAACATTTAGCCAAATTTAAGTGCTGAATTACAATAGTTGTTCTTACTTTTTAAGAACTATCTCAGAGGCACCTTTACTGAATATCCGGAAACTGCCATCAGAGTTTTTTAACACAGTACTCATAGACTTTCTAACAGAGTTGAAGGTGTACACTTTGTACAAATCCTCTTCTGGTATCTCATTTCTTACATCCTGATAATCACGCTTTAAATCCAAGAGCAATCCCAGCAAGGCACATTCAGTTTTATTTCCAACATGACGTGGTAGGCCACCTTCTTTTTCAGGAGGCTGCAAGAACAACAAGAACCTTCACTGATTAGGAGGTTAACTTATGAACCACTGAAGTACAGCATTTAGAAAACAAGGAAGCCAAGGCCAAGCTTAGCTCTGGATGTGGAAGTTCACTTTCACAGTGCTTACTCTATAAATTCATGAGTCATGCGTCAAAGTCATACTGCTGGCTTTTACAGGTAACTTCTGTACCTGCTTAGGATCTTTCAGTCCCTTTCTTAAGACTCAGAAAACTTCTTAAGTTTGTATCAAATTGCAACATGACATTTCTAAAAGGTATTTTCCATTAAAATTGATCTATCCGATCAATTGAGTGTAGTCAACAAACAATTACTTTGCATTTTCAAAGTACAGATAAGTTTACTTAAATTAGCGTTATTTCTGCTAAATTAAAAGTATCCTTTCCTGTAATAACTCTTCCTCAATGACTTAAGACTACAGTCACCTCACCTGTTAGCCTTCCACTGAAAAACTTAAGTCTTTAAGCTTCTTCAGTCTCACTACAAGTTCCGTTTTCCAAGCTATGGCCTACTTAACTGGAAAGTTCAGAAACAAGTTTCCAACCCTTTATTGCCAGAACAAGTTTCTTATCTCAGCAGCGTGAAATATGCATGTAGTAGTGCTGTAAGCAAAGCACAAAAATTTCTCTCAAGGTATTTCTGAACCTATATAGCTGCGACATTGCAGTGTAGTTTGTAGCAAGAACCTGCAGAAGCACTTACTCAGCCTGACATGCCTCAAGCAGCTAGAGCTGAACTGTATTAATCGTAAGCAAGTGATCCATTTTCATTGTTCAGAGCTGCAACATCTTAGATTTGGCTGTACTGAATACTCGCACTTACAGAATGTTCACTTTAATGTGCAGTTTAAGATGTCCAGTTCTAAGCTTGCCAGTAAAAGAGACATGGACATCCAGAAGCAAGTCCACAGAGATGATAAAAGGACTGGAGCACCCGACATGTGAGGAGTGGCTGAGAGCTGGGACTGTTCAGCCTAGAGAAGGCTCTGGGGGACAAACTTATCAGTACGTATTAAATGCCTGAATGGGGCAGGCAGGTGGAGCAATGGTAATGACTGCCAAAGACAGGCTTCTTAGTGGTGCCCAGAGAGAAGACAACGGGCAGTAGTTGCAAAGTGAAACTCTTGAAATTCCATTTGAACATAAGGAAACATCTTTTCACTCTAAGGGTGGTCAAATACTTGATCAGGTTGCCCAGAGATTTGAGAGTCTCTGTCCTTTGGGAATCTGGAAACCTGACTGGACACAGCCCTAAGCAACGTGCTCTGACTGACCCTGCTTTGAGCAGGGGGGTTGGACCAGAGGATCTCAAGAGGTCCCTTTTAGCCCTCCATGATTCTGTGAAACAGACTAACTATGACTGCCTTGGATGTAATTTGATTAAAATTGTAGTAGTTAACGGACCTGGTCAGTTTACATGCAGCTACTTTTTTTCTTTTTTCTTTCTATTTCTATATAAAAGAAAATCTTTATAAAATTAAGACTGTGGAACTCCTCACATGCTATAAATCATTAGTAGTACTACAGTCTTTTTTCAGAGGAATCGGTGCTGGCAATCTTGACATGCCACCTTAAGTACTGTTAATGAGGAAACTTTTGCAGAAGTCCATATTGGCTAAAAAGTAGCTTTTGGACTGGGGTTTTACTGCTGTTCCAATATGAAGCGTTCAGAGTGTAGACTTCTACTAAAACCTGAAGTACTAATTTATTTTTTAAAGCTAATTACTAGTTATTTTTACTGCCTAAAAGAATACAAGTTATGCAATACGTTGGAATAACTACAGCAAGGAAGCTCTGTTTGTAGTTGTAGAAAATGATGCACATAAGTTCTAACTAGTCTATTATTTAAGATGTGTAATGGTCCATTATTCTTTTCATTCCAAAATATTTTGGAAGTCTCGAACAAGGTATGAGCAAAAATGCTACAATTCTAAAGCCTACAAACTCACACAACAGTACTTGGAATAAAAATCCATCAAAATCCTCATCTGCACTTGCATTTTCCCATTCCATTCTAGCTGATGTTTTGCTGCTCTTACATGCTTACTTTAGAGTATCACTCAAACCCAACCAAGATGTTCTTCAAGTAAGTTAACAGCCCCACTTATAAAAACAAATTTAGACACAACTGTGAACTAGGAGTTGTCTTCCTGATATTGTATCTTTGAATTACCAGTTCTAACTGAAACAAGCTATTTTTGCAGTTTACACTCAAATGAATGGTTGAGCAATCTATAGCAGGTATAAAGTACCCGATGCTGCATTTTGTCACACACACTTTTAACTGCCTACCATGTGACCACCAGACAATTGGCAAATTTCAAGGAAGTTTATTTACATGGATTAGAATTAAATCCACTTACCAGTATTTTGGAAGTATAAGCACAATTAACAGAAATTCCTGTCACAAGGTAAGCCATGGTTTTCTCTGGAATAGCTTCTGGTTCTGGAATTTTCTTATAATGTTTTTCATTGATGTAGGCTTGGACCACTGTCATTCTGTTCATGGTCAATGTTCCTGTTTTATCTGAGCAAATAGCTGTTGCATTGCCCATTGTTTCACACGCATCCAGATGTCTCACCAAGTTATTATCTTTCATCATTTTCTAAGGAAATAAAAGCAGTCAACAGCTATCACCATCACTCTGCATTTCAGATATTCTCATTTAGGGTGTCCAGTCTTACACAGCAGCTTCAGAAGACACTGAGCCTTTAAGTCATCTAGCATCTTACAGAGGAAGAATTTGTAGCTGCCACATTCAGTAAGGATTCCTTTAAGTCTATTATGTCACAGTAAACTTCATTTTGAACAAGGTTCATAAATAGTCTTAATCCCCTGGACCTGCATGTCTCACTGACTACTGATACTATTCAGACGGTGTTATGAGCAAATAACTTACGATGACATTTTGATGTTAGTTATAAACAGAGGAGAGGTACAGACTGAGCTTTACCAGAAACAACATTAAATAAAGAAAAAAATAAGATCTTTCTGCTTACAAGAAAGATCAAGTAAGCTGTGCCACAGACTTATCTGAACATCAGATAATACATATTTCAAAAGAGCTAAAGTCAGACTTGAAATCAAATACAAATTGGAAGCCTAATGTTTCAGCTAAGATAGTGAGGACTATACAAGTTTCATAGGCAAAAGATCTCTTTAAATTCTTTACTTAACAGGTTTTGGATAGTATTTTAACTTTGAAGAGGCAGTATTTAAATGATAAAATACTAAGGCCACTACTAGTTAATGTTGTAAGTTAAGTTTTAGAACACAAGCTAAACAGCCATGTCTTTACAATTAGATTTTCAGATTAAAAACTGGTCCCAGCATGCAGAGGCAATAAGAAAATTAAGAGAACAAAGAGCATGAATTAAAAAATATGCTGCACAATAAGTAGAAAGCTGTGTATTCTACAATATTCTATCCTCAAGGAGAATTGATCTGGAAACTTTTATAGCAGTTGCTTAACACATCAGTTAGGTAGAAGTTCAGCTTTACAAACAAGTTTATTACTTACAAACTCTTGCATGTTATTTATAAGCAAATACTACAATGTTTTGTGTTAAACCCATTCATCTTTAGTTGGTGACAACAGCCTGTCACTGCTCACTATTCATGTTAGTGTGTATTCAGGTATTAAGAAAAATACTCATGCAGTTCAGGAAAACACAAAAAGCTTCTCCCCAGTGTGTTAGGTACATGATGCAGCACATCTCAACTGAGCTTTACAGCTGATGAATACACCCACCTACCCTTAAAATCTGTTCCACATCTATCCACTTACCTTAACAGAGTAAGCCAGAGATATAGTGACTGCAAGTGGAAGACCTTCTGGTACAGCCACCACCAAGACTGTAACTCCAATAATGAAGAACTTCACAAAATACTGAATATAAATTGGTGTACATTCAGCAAGCCAAGGTCTCTTCTGAACCCAGAAGGTATCAATTATAAAATATAACACAAGGATAATGACTGTAATTGCAGACATCAACAAACCTTGTTAAAAAGAGAATAAAAAGTTATCAGAAAATATCTCAAGTATCTGGCAATACAGACTGTAGATAAGTCACGCGCAAATACTTCTGCCTTTATATGAGCTAAATAATAAGTAGTTTATGTAATTTTTGAACAGGCAAGTCAGGAAACATTGACGTAATTCTCAAAGGTGTTCCAACTTCCAACGCAAGTACTTCCTCATGCATTTCATCTGGAAACTTCCAATATTTTTTTTTCCCCTATCCATTTAATTGAAAAGTGAAAGATCTAATTATGATCAGGACAGACCAATACGTAATGTCAATTGACTAAGCAGAACAGGAACTGAAATAATTCAGCAGGCCTTCAACGACTGTACTGCTGACTTACTCAGTAGAGAAAGCTGCTGTCAGTCTGTACCCTGCTTCTGCTGAAGTTGGGATTAAATATGGCAGCCAAGCACAGTTTTCAATGAACTGGGAATAACTGGGAAGCTAAAAGCTTAATTGCTTTGTATTCACACTCTAACTGTCTTTAGACATATATGCTGAAGTCAGCCCCTTTTGAGCTGTGAGCTGGTCTACAAGACTTCTGGAAGTTCCTAACCTAAAACTTCCAACAATTCTACATGGGCAAAAATAAACCCTGACATATTTTAATTAAACCTCTATGTACTAGATAACATAGCCTAAAATTTACACTGAACTTCATTGTTGTTTTTTTCAGTCTATGTTCACAAAGCAACTGTTTACCAACACAGCTGACTGAAGAGTAACAGAAGCTAAAGGATACGAGAAGGTCCAAAAGTGTTACATTCTGTAAGGCATATGTTAAGTGGAAATACCTAAGCCTCTGGAAGTACCAGAGATAACCTGGTTGACCCTACCACGTTTTCCAGACTTTGATCAATTTGTAGTTCTCCAGGTACATCAAGAAACACCTTATCTAAAAACAATCTTCTGTAACAGTTGTCTGAGGTTATGAAGTTGGAATTTTCTCTTCCAGAAGCTGGCAGTCTACAGCCTGAATCTACTTAAATCAAGGAAAACTAAAAGCCATCCACATGACAATCTGACAAGCCATCAGCACACTCAATGGCATACTTGCATGTATTGGAATTTTGCACTTGAATAATCAAACAAGTCATAGCTAACTACTTAAGTTATCCCCTCACAAACCACACACATTCCAATTTTACTCAAACACGTGACATCCACATAAGGAGCTTAATCACACATCATACCTGCTTTGCCAATCTGAACTGCAAGCTTTGTAAGTTTGCCTTGAAGAACTGACTTCTCTTTCTTTGGCAAATTTGCTCTCTTCTTGTCTTTCTCGTCTCCATCCCCACCATCCTCACTCTTCAGTGGCTGCATTTCCATGGCTGCACCATCCTGAGCTTTAGCTAGAAGATAAGATCAAATAAAGTTTATCCACTGGGAAGCCCCCAAAATCAGTGATACTTACAAAGCTTACCAACACCAGTACTGTGTAGTACCTTGTATCCAGAGACGCCATACTACACATGAACGTTTTAACAAGTATTATTGGTTGTAGGTGCACACGTGCTGGCAGCAGAGGAGCTGCGGCCCATGGATAAGACCATGCTGAGGAAGGCTGTCCCCCTGCAGCCCACCAACTACCACAGTGGAGCAGATCTCCACCTGCAGCCCATGGAGGACCCCATGCTGGAGCAGAGGTATGTGCCCTGAAAGAAGCTGCAGCCTGTGAAAGGCCTGTGATGGAGCAGGCTCCTGGCAGGAGCTATGGCCCGTGGGAGACCCACACTGGAGAAGTTCCAATAGGATACAGTCCTTCATGAGGGACCCTGTGATCAAGCAGGGGAAGAGTGTGAGGATGAAGGAACAGAGACAAGTATTACGAACTGACCAAAAAACCCTGTTCCCCATCCCCCTGCACTCCTCACAGAGAGTTGGGAGTGAAGTTGAGCCTGAAAGGAAGCAGAGGCCAAGAGGGGCAGTTGTTTTAGATGTTTTTGTTTCTCATCATCCTATTCTATTTTTAATTGGCAGTAAATTAATCTCCCCCAGTCTGTTTTGCCTGTGAAGATAATTAGTAAGTATCTCCCTGTCCTCATCTCAACCCACAGGATTTTCATCCTATTTTCTGCCTTGTCCTGCTGAGGTAGGGGGGAGTGAGAGAGCAGCTAGGTGGGTATCTGGTAGCCAGCCAAGGTTAACTTACCTCAACAAGATAGCTTGAAAATCAATGACAAAGTTTACTTTTGTAGTAGCTAGCTATGATGAGACTACCAATTTCATTTAAGCATTTGTTTTGGGCAGATTCACTTGTGCCATCTTTAGCATAAGCACTCTGGATTTAAGTATTCATTTGCACGTATTCATTATTACATACACTCTCAGAAAACAGAGACTTGCAAGAAAAGGATCAGAGAACCTGCATTTACCTTTGTTACGGTTTTCAACAGCTCCATCTTGCTTTTTACCTGTTGGAGAAGGGAACAAGTTGTGTTTTAAATCGGCTGTGCAAGAGTTCATTTCAGTATTTATATATAATGCATACATTACCATATGCTAAAACAAGCAGTTACGTGAGACAGAGGGATCACATAACTGAAGCTTTAAAAGCAGAAGTCAACTCACAGAAACAGCTCACATCAGGTTCTTTTGACTTATCCCATAAAAGACTGCTGCAGTTTTATACCACCATAATTAAGCTTGCACAAATTACAGGAACAGGTATTTATTACTTGTGAGGAAAGCTTTTAAAAGGCTTGCCTAAGCATTTTTTCTAGGGAGAAAAAAAAATGGTGACACTAAGGTGATTCTGGTGGCCATGGTCTTGCTCTCTGTTCTTCCAACATTTGGCAACTTCATCTGACTACTACTGTAAACAAACTGTAGAATCTCACTTCCGGAATCAGTGCTTTTGTTCAACACTGCAGAAGCTACTGTAGTATAAAATATTTTAAATCCACACCAAAGCTGAATGGAGGTACAGCACTGGATTACTGGATCTATGCTAACCCTATTTACGCAAGCATGAACGTCATCTGTAGGCAACGTACCAATGTTACAACACTAAGAGAACAGATCGTATTCATAGTAAAATATCCCTCCTACCTCTGTTCAGACACGGAGTTCAAAAGATCAGAAAGAAGGACAGTGAAATAACAGAAGAAAATAATGGATGAAACATAAAAAGTAACTAGAAGACTGACACATTGTGTAGCTTAT